AAGAAAGAAAGAAAGAAAGAAAGAAAGAAAGAAAGAAGGAAAGAAAGAAAGAAAGAAAGAAAGAAAAGAAAAGAAAAGAAAAAAGTGGGATGAAGGAAGGAGGAGGGAGGGAAAGAAAGAAAGAAAGGAAGGAAGGAAGGAAGGAAGAAAGCAAGGAAGGAAGGAAGGAAGGAAGGAAGGAAGGAAGGAAGGAAGGAAGGAAGGAAGGAAGAAAGAGGGGGAAGTAAAAATGGAAGGAAGGATCAGCCCTCTGGAGTCAAAAAGTTAAAGATGACCAGCCACCATGAAATCAATGTTCTGCCCCTTTTACGTACCCTACAGGCATGACACGAGGCTGGGGTGTTCGGCTGCCCTCTTGAGCCTTTTAAACCCAATTCTCGTGGACATCCCCTGTGTTATGGGTATCCCACCTCCACAAGTGGTAGGAAACTTCTCCAAAACAATGGAAGGGCATCGGCCTTCACATCTCATCAGCCCCCACAGGAAGCCTTTTATCCATGCTCCGAAAGCTACTGGAAAGCATCTCACGGCCTTCAACCCTCCCCACCACCCAGGAAAGAAGTCACCCATCAGATGTGGCCAAGCTCCAACAGGACAACCCCAGCGCCTGTTGGAGAAGACCTTGGAGCAGCACAGAGAGGACATACCAGCAGAGCCTCCGTTCTGCTCCAAGCAGCCGTCTTCAGATGAAATGAGAAGGTTATGGAACAAGAGCTCCCCAGTCCTGATGGCTGCTCCAAGGCAAAGCCAGGCAGGGAAGTTGGTAGTATAGCCCAGTGGTGCTATGATACCAGTTCAGACTGGTTTGGCCGAACCGGTTGTAAAAAAAGAGCCTCTGACAATCAGCTGAGAAGCCTCCCGCCTGCCCTTGTGCTTTTCCCTTCTTTATCCTCTCAGCTGATTGGCGCTGCAGGTCTCAGCTGGTGTGGGGAAAGCTGTGCGCACATGTTAGGTGCACATGCACGCGCGTACGATCACCAAACCAGTAGTGGAACAGGTAGGATCTAGTTGTGGCGTTCAAACATTTTTACCACTGGTTTGGTGGGCGTGGCTTGGTGGGCAAACTTTGCCTGCACGCATGTGCCAAATGCACTTTGCACAGGTGCAGAGGCATTCCAACTCACCTCCTGCAAGCCTGCACTCTCCCGGTCACTTCAGCAGCTGCCGTGCATCACTCTGCTGTGCCGCGCAAAGCAGTTGCGCTTCAAAATCAGAGGATAAAGGTGAGTACCGGAGGCCGGACAGGCGGGTGGGCCCAACAGCAGAGTTGCAGAGAGATACCGGTTCAGTCTCCACTGCTCATTAGTGCTACTCACGGCTCATCGGCGCTACCTGCGGTTCTGTACCTCTACCTGGCGCTACAGAACCACGCTGAACTGGTAGAATACCACCTCTGGTTGGATCCAGGGTTGGGATTCTACCAGTTCACACCTATTCACTAGAACCGGTTGTTAACATTCTAAGCAGTTTGAAGAACCGGTTGTTAGAAGAAATTACTGGGCTAATCCTGTAAGGAAGGCAGGAAGGAAACATTCTGGTGTTGCTTACAGAAACAGCTTCTCCATTAACTCTTATTACATTCTTGGCAGGACTAGACTTCCTGTCTCAGGAACTTCTCTGGAGTTATTTTTCCCTCCTTTGCTGGTACTTTGTTTGTGTGGAGTGACCATTCAAAGTTACAATGGCACTGAAAAAAGTGACTTATGACCATTTTTCACACTTATGACTGCTGCAGCATCCCCACAGTCATGAGAGGCCAGGCGAGGAGATGCGTGCCTCGATGTGGGTGCTATTGAGTTGGTCACGCCCAGCCAATAACATGACCACCAAGCCACACCCACCAACTAAGCCATGCCCACAGAACCGGGTTAGGGTTAGGGTTAGGGTATTTTTAAAGTGTTTTTTCCATATTTTCTTCCAATTAGTTAATAATGAGTCTCTGATTAGGTGTCTGTGAAAATATTTCTGGCTGGTTTTCCCCACATCCCATAAAAAAGCATGCCACCCCCTTTGCAAGTCATGGCAGGGAAGAACTCTGGTTTTGGGAATCTGGATTAATCCCATCCCAATTCTCTTAGTGTTAATCTACGCCCCGAACAGAGGTCAGAAAGAGATTTTTAAGCATCTTTATGGAAAAAGAGTAGGATTGGAAAAAAGAAATATTTGTATCATAGGAGACTTTAATTCTATTGCTGATTTTTAAAAAGACCACAGAAACTATTTAGATGAAGTGAAGGATAAAGCAATTGTGGAAGAAATGGAAAAATTATTAAACAAAGACATTACTTGGTTTGAATTGAAATCAGCAATAGAGAACCAGAAAAACAATAAATCCCCAGGACCAGGTGGGATTCCAGGGGAGCTATACAAGGCAATAGCAGAACAAATAGGACCTCTTATGGTGGAAGTTTTTAATGACATCTTATTGGCAGCCAGGATGCCGGACTCATGGAGGGGGTCACTGATTTTGCTGATCCCGAAGAAGGATTCAGATCTCCGATATATACATAATTATAGGCTGATTTCACTATTAAATACTGATTACAAAATATTCACTTCTATTATAGCAAGTAGACTAAAAAAATGTTAAATGAGCATATATATGAAGATCAAAATGGATTTCTCCCGACCAGACAAATCAGGAACAACTTAAGAATAGTACTAGATGTCTTAGAATTTTACAAAGCCCACCCCGAAAAACAAATTGCACTTATGTTTTTAGATGCAGAGAAGGCCTTCGATAATTTAAATTGGCAATTTTTAATCCAAAAAATTTATAATATGAATTTAGGCACCAAATTTGAAAATATTATAACAACCATTTATAATACACAACAGGCTAATGTTATAATAAACGGGGAATATACCCACCCAATAAAAATAGAAAAAGGAGTCAGACAGGGCTGCCCACTCTCACCCCTGCTCTTCATATATTATCATTAGAAGCATTACTAATGCAAATTAGACAGAACCCAGACATAAAAGAATTAAAGGTTAAGAAAGAAGAATATAAGTTGCAAGCTTTTGTAGGTGATATGATTTTTTTCATTGAGGAACCAATAGAAAGAGGACAAAAATTGATGAATGAATTAGAACAATTTGGAGCAGTAGCAGGACT